GAGGACGAGAGGGCCGAGACGCTCCGAGACCTGGCGGTCCTGGAGGATGGCTCGGGCGCCGCGGCCTTCCCGGAGCGTGCGGGAAGGCTCCGAGAGCGCTCCGGGACGCTCTGGAGCGGATGTATTCTCGCCTTGGCCCCGCCCGTGGCCACCGCCCGAGGCAGGTACGGTCGGGCCAAGGGCAGAAGGACATCCTTCAAGGCCATGAGACCCTCCGCCGGCCAAAACACCCCAAACCAGAAAATCAGTCGAGGGTACCCACCCCCAGTGATGCGCGAGAACATCTGGCAAACAAGCACGAAGAGCAGCAGACCCTCCCCCGAGACGACCTCGATCTGATACTTCGCCCCGACCGTAGGCAGACATATACCTCCCTCCCTCTCCTCTACGAGCCTCGGGACGAAGGACTGACTGGTGGCTCCTCTCCCTTAGGAGGCAACAACTGGGAGGTTTTCGTCGGAAGGATTAAAGAGGATTAAGGCCCGTTTGGTGGCCGTTACGCCAGAGTGGGCCTCGGATCAAGCGGGATTAAGACGGATCAAAACGGATTGAGCGGGATTAAGCTGGATTAAGCGGGATTTCGGACCAGGGCTAAATCAGAATTTGACCTCCCAGGAGTTACATCCGAATCTCCCTGTCCTCCTCCCCCATCGAAGCAGAAGACGGGCCCCGGAAATGTTCGGAAGGCCCCCGCGCCCCCCGCCCGCGGCGCGCCCCCCGCGCGCGAGGCGGCTGTGCGCATGAGGGGTCACTGCTCGTCGTCGTCGTCGTCGTCGTCGTCGTCGTCGTCGTCGTCGTCGTCGTCGTCGTCGTCGTCGTCGTCGTCGTCGTCGTCGTCTTTTGGGTCGGCTGCACCCGCCGTAAGGCCTCCACAATGAGGAGCGCTAAGTAAGGAACGAAGCCTTTTTTGGCGCGCCAAAAACGACTGGGTGCACGAAGAGGGCTAGAGGAACAGCCGCGGAATGACCGAAGGAACAGCGAGCCCCTTCCGAACCCAAAGCGATCCTTACTTCAGCGTCTTGACTGTATGGACGGGGCGGAAGAGGATGCTTTCGGATGTGTTTCGGATGATGATGTATTGAGGCGACCTGTTATTCCCGACGCCTCATGCCACGAGTTATCCGCCGACCCAAAAAGGCGTTTGGTGACAAACCTGACGTCAACAAACCTGTCGTCAACCATGCCCCCTCCACGCCCCTACCGCGCACCGACAATCGCACCCACCATCCTGCTGCACTCTGCAAATCCTCGCCTGGAACTGCCGTCGCTTCTTACCCTGTCCTCGGCATGCTTGTGCTTTCGAGCCCCCACACTCTGCAAACCCTGCCGTCTACCTCGCCCGACACCGCCGCTCTCTTGGTACTGTGTTTTCAAGCTCCCCACACTCTGCAGATCTTGGAGCTCTCTTCCACAGCCTCGGGGGCGCTGTTTTTCCTAGGATGGTTCCCTCGCCCGACACCGCCACTCTCTTGGCACTGTGTTTTCAAGCCACCCATACTCTGCAGCTCCTGGCCCGGCGCAAATTCTTCCAGCCTCTGGGGCGCTGTTTTTCCGAAGCTGGATCCCTACAAATTTCCGGCCCTGGCTCACCGGGAAGTCACCGGCGCTCCCACATCCTGGCTCCCCCCCACAGCCTCTGGGGCTCTGGTTTCATTGGGACCCCATTCTTGGGACCTCCCATCTAACAGTCCCTGGCCCAGAACCGACCCCGATGCCCCACCCACGACCCTCGTTAATGGAACTCTGTTCTTGGGACACCCCACCTGCCAATGCCTGGCCTGGACCTGACCCCGACCCCCCAACCTTAACCCTGACCGCGCCTTTTCCACCCTGACCCTCACCGCGCCCCGGCATCCCCACCGCGCGGGAGCTTTGTTCTTGGGACTTCCCACCTGGCAATTCCTTGCCCGGAACCGACCCCGACCCACCACCCTTACCCTCACCGCGACCCGGCAACCCCGCCGCTCGGGAGCGGCCCGGAACTCGACCCCCCACCCTGGCCCTGCCCGCGCCTTGGCCTCCCCAGAATTCGGGAACTCTGCTCGTGGGACCTCCCACCTGGCAATCCCTTGCCCAGCACCGACCCCGACCCCTCACCCTGACCCTCACCGCGCCCTGGGAATCCCACAGCTCGGGAGCTTTGTTCTTGGACCCCCCCCACCGGGCACCATCCTCCTCCTCCTCCTCCTCCTCCTCCTCCTCCTCCTTCTCCTCCACCTCCCTCCTCCTCCTCCTCCTCCTCCTCCTCCTCCTCCTCCTCCTCCTCCTCCTCCCTCCTCCTCCCTCCTCCTACTTGACTGCGCCTCTCGACTACCCGAGCGCGCGGTCCCTCAGCGTCTCGACTACAAGAGTGCGCGGCCCTCCCGATCCTCGACTACCCAGGCGTGGGCGCGAGCTTCGTCCTGACTGCGCGGGCGCGTCTTGCACGCTCGAGTTCACGCGCGCTGGCGGCGTTGGAGCGTTTTCTAGCTCATTGCGCCCACATCGAGTTCAACCTGTAAGCCCAACTCGAACTCATCGGCGCCATGAGCAGCGGCGACGCGACCTAGAGCACCACCGCTCGCAGCGAGGGCCTCCCCTGTCACCGCACCTCGCACCGGTGCCCCAAGCAACCCCGCCTCGAAGTGGGGACCTCACCGCCCAACCTTCCTTATCGGTGGCGTCGGGGGAAAATCCACAAGTGGGCAATTTGAATGAACTTGCGCCGATATACTGGCCTCACGGGGCGCCTGCAGTGACCATTCGGAGAGAATTGGGTTTGCCTCAGAACGCGCCAATATTGCACAGAAGAACGCCGACTGTGCCCAGAATAAGTCCAATATGGCCTCAGGAGCGCCCAGAATCGTCACGATAACGTCCCAAAAAGGATCCAAGATGCCAGATTTAAGGCTCCAGACGGGCAGTGCTAATTGGCACTGGCTCGTTGTGCCTTCGACAGCCCTCAGCGTGGCCCCAAAATTGGACGGTCGGCTCCCGAGAGGGCCCGAGCAAAGCCAGACGAGGGCCACAATAGCCACCATAAGAGCCCCGAAGAAACTCCAATATGGCTCCAAGAGGCTCCGGTGAGACTCCAAGATGTACCTCAGATCGCTATTGTTGGCCACCATGGTTCACCCGATGTTGGCATATGTCCCGTCTCCCGTCGCATGGGCACCCTGTATGGATGATATCTCATGGAGGCACGAGAAGTGTCAAGAACATGGAAAAGCATATGGCCAATCTTGTGCTCACTAGGGCGCGGGTGACAGGAGGGACCCTTGAGGCGGGGGCGTAGCACGGCGCCTTCTCTGCGTGCGACTGCAAGGGTCTCTTTTCAAAGTAATAACGTTGTGTTCTTTTCGAATTGAGATGCATGAAATCATAGGTAATACAGCAGCGCGACCGACTCCCTTAGGCATTGCGGCAAGCAGCAGCATGCAGAACAGCGCGGTGGAGCAGGAACAGAACCGAACAGAAGTGGATGACACACTGACTGGGTATAGCAAACCAAAGGATGTTGCAGTCGGTGTAGGAGGCTGGTCAGGTAGACTAGGGACTAGGTGGAAGCTTGATCGAAGACATGTATAATTGATTATATAGAAGACGACAAAAGAATAGTTGATCAGAGTGCATCGGAGTACTTGCGCTATACATGATCGTCCAGCTGTTGCTCCCTGCAGGATGATGCGCAGCCGACAGCGGAGCAGCATTCATATGATCGGCGTAAGGGCCACACCAATTTGCTCGTAACCTTCTCTTGATTACCGATGTGTGTCGGGAGCGGTGCGCCAAACATCTCGCGTTTCCAAACGGGGGCCACTTCTGACCCAGGGTCACACGCAGGCCCAAACTCTGGCCTCCAACGGCCGTTCGGGACGGTGCCAGCATCCCCGGACCCCCATCGATGCGGCGAAGCTGACGGAAACCACTCCATGTGTGGGAAACTTTCAAAAACTACCGCCAACAGAAAAATCCCCCCTGAGCCCATCCCGCCCTGACGTTGCCCCTGACGTTGCGCCTTAATAAACCGGACTCCCTAAGCTCCAAACCAAAACAAACGCCCAAAAAAACCGGACCCCCCCAAGTACAAACAAGGCGCCTTGAAAAACCCGACCCGGGGGACGATTAATAGGGGATTTGAAGTAACTGCCTCCCCCCAACGTTGCCCCTGCGCTTCGCTCGGATCCGCTGCGCGCTTCGGCAGAGCCCCGCCGCAGTCGCCCCTCTAGGCCAGAGAGGCAGCCCGTCTGCGTGGAGCGCCCTGGCGGCGATCAATCGGGGCCTCAGGGGGGATGATAGAGGGCGTCGAGGGGGCGGAGCTCCAGGCCAAGGCGACTCCGCTAGCAGTGGAGCGCGCGGCGGAAACTAAGTGGCCCCACCACCAACACCAAGGCCCTGCACTGCGACAACACAGTCCAACGCTCAAGGGATCTACTGGCCCGCGTCAGTTCAAACCTGGGTCAGCCAGGCTTTGCAGGAGCCTGCAAAAATCCTACAGCGTGCAGGGTCCTGCGCGCCAGCCCGTGACGGTGCAACCCTGACTCCGCAGGATCATACAAGATCCGGCGCCCTGGCTGACCTCCGTTTGCATTGACCCCCGTCTCAAGGCTCCCGAACCTTGCCCCCGACTCCTCCCCCCTCTGGTAGAGGTCTCCTAGAGATGGGGTCCGAGTAGATGGGGTGGAAGGATCGAGCCGCATCGCCAATGCATCGGCGATGCATCAGCGACGTCGCCGATGCATCGGCGACGTCGGCGTGGGGAAACACGGTCTCCACATCGAGCCGTATAGTCGATGCATCGACGAGGCGGCGCGATCCTCCGACCCCATCTGCTCCGACCCCATCTCTGGCCATCGCTTGGACGTCCGTTCCGTGTTTTTTTTTCGGTTTCGTGCGTGGCCCTAATCGTTCCGTTCCGTTCCGTTCCGTTCAAATGATCAAGGATGATCCTCGACGGTCCTCGCCGAAGAAAACATGCACACGTCCGAGCGATGCCAAGATCTAGGAGGCATAGATCTGGCCTCCTCGTCCAGCGCGCTCAGCGGCTCGAGCACCGGGCTGAGGTCGTCACCGGCGGCGGGGCCCGAGGGGAGGTCGTCCCACATGCCGCCGCCCTTCGGCGCCTCGGCGTCGCTCGCCGTCGTCGTCGTCGTCGTCGTCGTCGTCGTCGTCGTCGTCGTCGTCGTCGTCATCGTTCCTCCTCCTCCTCCTCCTCCGCCTCCTCCTCCTCCTCCTCCTCCTCCTCCTCCCCCTCCTCCTCCCCCTCCCCCTCCGCCTCCTCATCCTCCTCCTCCTCCTCCTCCTCATCATCCTCCTCCTCCTCCTCCTCCTCCTCCTCCTCCTCCTCCTCCACCGCCTTCTCACCCTCCTCCTCCTCCTCCTCCTCCTCCTCCTCCTCCTTCCCCTCCCCCTCCCCCTGCAGGAGTCGCGCTTGCCCCAGGGGAGGGGGGGCGGGCTGCTGTGGGAATGTGCCCCTCCCCTCCTCTCCCCCTTCTCCTCGCCTTCTCCCCCTCTCGTCTCCTCTCCCGCCCCCCGGGATTCAGTTCCCCCGGCGGTTCACCTCCCCGCCGGGGCGAGGCCGGAGGACCCGCGGCGGCGCGCGGAACGCACTGCCGCCGTGGGACACGCGGTGGGCGATGTTTGAGTCACGTGCGCTTGAGAAGACTCTGCACCGAGGCGAAGGGCAGGGCTGGGGGTGGGCGGCAGGCTCGTGTTCGCCGGTCCTGCACTCGTGCTTGTTGTTGGGCTGATCAGGTACGCTGAATCAACGCTGCATCCTCCCCCTACAACCTCCTGCCCCTCCTGCGAAGTACTCTCGCCCTCCCCCTCCAACATCCTCCTTCTCCTTCTCCCGCCCTCCTCCTCATCATCATACCACTCCACTGCCTCCACATCCTGGAGAGGGGGGGTCTGGAGGGGAGGGGGATATGGACTCCCGGGAAGAGGGAGGATGGGAAGAGAGGGAGGAAACGAGGAAAGTAGGAGCGAGCAGGGAGGAGTGAGGACATCCTCCTCCTCCTCCTCCGCCTCCTCCTCCTCCTCCTCCTCCTCCTCCTCCTCCTCCCCCTCCCCCTCCTCCTCATCCTCCTCCTCCACCTCCTCCTCCTCCTCTCCACCTCCTCCTCCTCATCATCATCGTCTGCGTGCCTCGTAAAAACACAATCGCCTGCGCGCCTCGAATCTCTCTCTATATATATATGTGTGTATAGCTATATGTGTGTATGTATGTATGAATATATGTATGTATGTATGTATGTATGTATGTATGCATGCATGCATGCATGCATGCATGCATGCATTCATGCATGTATGTATGTATGTATGTATGTATGTATGTATGTATGTATGTATGTATGTATGTATGTATGTATGTATGTATGTATGTATGTATGTATGTATGTATGTATGTATGTATGTATGTATGTATGTATGTATGTATGTATGTATGTATGTATGTATGTATGTATGTATGTATGTATGTATGTATGTATGTATGTATGTATGTATGTATGTATGTATGTATGTATATGTATATGTATATGTATATGTATATGTATATATGTCGTCTGCGCGCATCGTCTCCGTCGTCGCCGTCGTTGTCGTCGGCGTCGTCGTGCTCGTGGCGCTTGTTGCTCTGCTCGGGGCTTGCTTTCCTTATGCAGTGACCACCCAATTGGATTGCTAGGCATTTCACGCCGCCTGGCCGTCCGTTTGTCCGTTCGTCTGCCTGTCTGTGTCTTCCCGGCTTTCTGAGCCGCGTTGCCTTGAACTTCCTGGCTCAGGGACGCGTCGGACACCGCAGCCCTCTCCCTTGTCGGTGGCCCTGACGAGGTCGGGGGCGATGGTGCCGAAACGCGCCCAGAGTCCAGCAAGGCATGAGGGTGTAAACCCGACTTGTCTGGCTGATGCCCTGGGGGAGCCTGTGCTCAGGCGAGAGTGGCTGCAGCACCGCTCAACGATGTGCTGTTTAACCGAACCTGCAGGGTGGGCTCTTCCCCAAATCCATGCTTCGGTGCGGATCGTCTGCGCGCATCGTCTCCGTCGTCGTCGTCGGCGTCGTCGTGGTCGTGGTGCGTATTGTTTTGCTCGGGACTGGTTTCCCTCATGCAGTGACCACCCACTTGGATTGCCAGGCATTGCACGCCGCCTGGCTGTCCGTTTGTCCGTTCGTCTGTCTGTCTGTGTCTTCCCGGCTCTCTGAGCCGCGACGCTTTGAGCTTCTTAGCTCAGGGACGCGTCGGCCACCGCCGCCCTCTCCCCTGTCGGTGGCCCTGACGAGGTTGGGGGGAAGGGTGCCGAAACGCGACCAGAGTCCAGCAAGGCATGAGGGTGCAAACCCGACTTGTCTGGCTGATGCTCTGGGGGGGCTTGTGATCAGGGGAGGCTGCAGCACCGCTCAACGATGTGCTGTTTAACCGAACCTGCAGGGTGGTCCATTTCCCAAACCAGTGCTTCGGTGCGGATCGTCTGCGCGCCGCGTCTCCGTCGTCGTCGTCGTCGTTGTCGTCGGCGTCGTCGTGGTCGTGGTGCGTTTTGCTCTGCTCGGGACTTGGTTCCCTTATGCAGTGACCACCACCACCACCCCACCACCTCTTCATGTTCCTCCTCTTTCCTCCTCCTCCGTCCTCATCAACCTCGTCGTCGACTCCCAAGACGACGACGGACGACGAACGATGACGACGACGACGTCCTCCACGACGACGACGACGACGACCGACGCTTGACGACCGAAGACCGGCGACGGACGACGGACGACCGACGACAGACGAGGATCGACGGACGACGGACGACGACAACGACGGAACAGAACCTGTCAAAGTACATCCCTGGCCAGCGCGTCGTCCTGGACCGACCCCCTGACGGCCCCCAGGGCCCGCAGGGGGGTGGACCACAGCCAGAGACTGGCGAAAAGCCTGCACGGCCGATACTGTAATTTTGTCACAACACTAACAGGGGATATGTCGACCCCTATCCTAGGTTTCGTTGTGTTCTCGAATGGACCAAACATTGGGGCCCACCGCTGAGATGTACTACGGTGGGGCGTCCATCCTCGATAGGGGTGCGTCCGAGCAGCCAGCTTGGGGTGTATCACAAGGTTTTCCCCTTTTTCTGAGCGGCGCCGCATTTTGTTTCAGACGGAGCCCGGAGACAGGGGGAGAAAAATCGCCTGCGGAACGCCGCCTCCGAGGGTCCCGACCCGACACAAGGACCCAACGAATGGAACAAGATCAAGTCGCAGGTGTTCCACTACAGTCGTACCTTGGCCAGAAGAACGCTCCTCAAGAACATGAGACCATCCGTCGACCAAGACAACCTGAACATCCAGGGACACCCTCCCCTGAATGCACAAGGACATCAAAAAAACACGGAGAACACGATGGTACCCTCCCCGAACTGACCTCTATCTGATACATCGGCCCGGCTGTTACTGTTCTGGCCCTGGGGGCCCTCGAAGATCCCCGGGAGCGTTCAAGGGCGACTCGGGACGGAAGGCCAGCCTTGCGAAAAGGCTCGGGAATCTTCTGACCCGTGTCAATCCAGACCCAGGTCAGTCAGGCCTTGCAGGATCCTGCAAAATCCTGCAGGATCCTGCCGGACCCTGCGCCCAGAGCAGGGTCAGTGCGACCCTGGCCCTGCAGGATCCTGCAAGATCCAGCATTATGGCTGACCCCCGTTTGCAGTGACCCCCGTCTCTTGAGCCTGAGGGGCAACGATAGAAGGGGACTGGCATGGAGGGAGACGCATGGACCTGGAATCGGCGATACATCGCCGATATATCGGCGATGGGCTCCCGATAGTAAGTCCGCACATCCCTGGGCGGCTTAGGGCTATCGGGCCCCCATCGGCGATCAGTGGGCGACTGGGCGTCGATGCACCCACCCTGTGCCTATCCCCCCCCTATCGTTGCCTCCGAGGGCCCCGAATGGTCAGAACTTCCGGGGGCCCCGCAGGGGCAGAAGCGAGGCCTGGGAGCACAAAAGGGGTGAAGCCCCCTGACGGGCCCGTCCTCCCCGACGGGCGCGTCCTCTCTCCCTTTTCCTCGTCTTCTCCCCCTCTCGTCTCCTTTCCTGCCCCCTGCGTATATCCCCCCCGATCGTTGCCTCCGAGGGCCCCAAATGGTCAGAACTTCCGGGGGCCCCGCGAGGGCAGACGCGAGGCCCCGGAGCACTAAAGGGGTGAAGCCCCCCCGACGGGCCCGCCCTCCCGCGCAGATTCCCGCACGATCCTGGGGGCCCGACGAAGGCACACCTGCCGTCGTGCTCCTTTGCCCACGACGCGAGGGGGCACAAAATGAGGAGGAGGAGAAGGAGGAGGAGGAGGGGGAGGAGGAGGAGGAGGAGGAGGAGGAGGAGGAGGAGGAGAAGGAAAAGGAGGACGAGAAGGAGGAGGAGGAGGAGGAGGAGGAGGAGGGGGAGGAGGAAAAGGAGGACTTCCTGCCGCAGCGCAGCATGCAGCCCGCGCGTCACCTCAGGGGAGGGGGGGGCGAGACTCCCGAGGCCCCCCCCCCAAAAAAAAACAAGCGACAAACCGAACTTTACCAGGCAGGCACGAAGTTTACACCCGCGCACACAGGCTGGGCGAGAAGAAGAAAAAGGCGAAGCCCTGCCTTGCGCCATCAGGGCAGGGAGGTGCCGCTCTAGACTAATAAGACCCCGCTCTAGACTGGAACGGCCCCGGTCAAGCCGAGAACGGGATCGTACTGGGCTAGAACGGGCGGGCGCTGCCACGGGGCAGCCCCGGTACAGGACCCGACCCACGACACCGCCAAACACCCAGACAAATATGGGGCAGTCCCTAAAAGTCTGAACAGCACCGCTGCTACCGCGGCGAGGGAAGCAGCGCGCTGGCCCAAGCCAGCAACGCAAGAGGAAACGAGTGACGAAGTTCAGCCAGACACCACAAGTATAGGGCGGGGCCGGAACTGACTCGGGGCAACCGAAGAACCCGGCCCGACCCCCGACCCCACCATCGGACCAGACAAATGAAGCAGGTTCCGAAATGCCCAATCAGCGTCGCTACCTCCGCGGCGAGGAATGGCGCGAGGTGGCTCTGGACAACGACGCCCAAGATCCTCGGGCAGGCTCGAAGTGGCAGCCGAGAAGAGGCGCTGATCCAAAACAGC